GCAGGAGCTCAATCTAGAAAAGGCTCAGCCTTTGTGCAGACAGACAGCCCTGGGACCCAGACCGCCCAAACCGCCAGGGTCCAGGGTGGGCTGAGGAGCGAAAGCACCTCCCGGGCTCTCCTCAGTTAACGGCTGCGGAGACTTTCTGCTGCTGTGGTGACAGCCCCTGGCCCAGAGGAAACCCATCCAAGAGTTCACTGGGGTCCCCAAGTGTCTGTCCCGCCCCCTCCCTGGCCCACCCTCCCCAGCTGACCCCAGCAGTCTGTGCCGCCTTCCAGGCTGACCTGCTGACCCTCGGGGCCAGCATGCAGCTCTCTTCAGCCTCCTCTGTCGCCCAGGTGTCCAAGACCCAGAGAGGCAGGACCATGCAGCCCTGCGTCCCTGCCCATGTAGTCACAGGCTAGCTGCAGGCTCCGCCCACCCTGACTCATCAACACTCACCCTCCCCTCTGTCATTCGTGGGGAAACGTTGCAGTCCCTGGGGCCGCTGCTGTTTGGAGGCTCCCACTGGCCCCTTCTCCGTGGGAACACCCTGCCCCTTCTGCGGGCTCTGCTCCCTGCAGGCCCTGGGCTGCCCAGGCTCCAGCCGGGCCTCCCTGTCCCTGAGGGCAGCCCTGTGCCCAGGCTGAGGCCAGTGAAGCAGCGCTTCAGCTAAGCCACTGGGGGGAGGGGGCATTCGAACAGGGTTTCCGAGGGAGGGCCGAGGCAGTGACTCAGCCTCCCGTACTGGCAGGAGTTCACGCACTCAAGAACCTGGGTGACAAAATGTCCCCGGAAAAGGGCTCTCCCCTCGGAAGCCACCCATCCCCACCCCGTGGCTCCCTCAGAGGTGGGGCACAGAAGGGCATGAAGTGAGGGGCGCCAGAGCATGCAGACGCCACCGTCGCTGCACTGGGCCCTGCCCAGCCCCCGCCCCACAGCCTGCCCCCATCCTGACCGGTTCACCTCCACTGAACAGCTTCGGCGGGCTTCCAAACTCAGAAACCAGGCTGCTTCCCCTCCAGGGCCCACTCTGGCCCTGCGGCCCCCAGGAGACCGCCCAGGCCTGCAAGGCTTCCCAGCCCATGGGCGGGCACCCCACTTCGCCTGGGTCCTGCTTTTCTTTTTTTCCATCCCTCCTTTATTTACTAGTTTTCCAAATGCTGAGCAAGTTCTCCAGCACTGCTGAAGCTGACCAGCGAGAGAGAGCTGCTGCTGTTCTTTAGATCATGATGAACTCATGGATTTAAACCTTTTCAATGCATTTCAATTCACTGCAATTATAAGCCTTATTGATATTCGAATTGCCTCAACTTGGGGCCAGGGGTGGCCTCTTCTCTCTTTGACCTTGAGCCCCCCCCAAGCGCCACTTCACCAGGCAGCGCCCAGCACCCCAGGGGCCCCGCTGGCTGTCTCTCTACGGTGGCCTTCTGTTACAGGGGAGCTCCATGGGGCGGGCTTGGGAAGTGGACCGTGACTTCAGGCATAGCACCCAGCCCGGAGGCCAGAGGGGCCCTCCCAGCCCAGCTCTGTCCAAAGACCACGGGGCCTCCTCCCAGAAATAGGGGGGGCGTCTGAGAAGGGCCCCCCAAGCACTGTGGGGAGTAAAGCTGGCACCGCTGGGAATCTGCCTAGACCACTGGTCCCTGCACCTCAGCACCGCCCCACCTCAAGCCCACCTCAAGTTGGGAATTCTGCAAAA